TTTCCGGAACCGGGGATTGAACTCAGACTCTTGCACTTCCCAGGGACGCACTTATTCCACTGAGCCATCTCCCTGGCCCCTGATCATTTTTCTGTAACCTCCGGGATTTGACAGATAGGCTTTAAAACTACACTGGAGAAAACTACAGAGAAAGAAGGGTACCCAGCAATCCTGTTCTTTCTAAATCCCTCCTCCAAGCCGGGTGTGGTGGTGTATGCCTGTAATCCCAGCACTTGGGAGGCTGAGGCAGGAGGATTGTTGCAAGTTTGAGACTACCCTGAACTACAAAGAAAAAAAAAAAAACATTAAATCACTCCTTGTCATTCCAGGTCATTTCCAAATGGTGTTTAGTAAATGCAAATGGAATAAAAAGGTGTCTCCCCATGAAGCTTTGTGACAAAGGGCCACACAGTGCTGGGGGGCCTTGTGGAGCCCCCAGGGTGGATTTGGGTGGAGGGACTGCTGGTCACAAAATGAACTTCCACAGTGGGCAATGGGTAGTAGGCACTGTGACCAGCAGCCTCCCCTGAGGCCAGGACATAGTGCTCTATGGCAGGGAGTGATGATGGTGGGGATAGGCAGGGCAGGTCTCACCAGCCCTCTCCCTGCAGCACCTGTGTCTCTGGTGAGATGGCATGCACTTCAGAACCCTGCCCAGGTACCCCACCTGGGGCCCATGTCAGGGAGCAAGGGGGTACCTAGGCCCTTCTGATGAGCCCATGGGACAAAGGTGGGACCCCAGGCAAGTCGGGGCTCAGCGTGGTTTGACCTGGCCTCACACACACCACCCCTTTGCACTGGCAGTGGCCTGTGGCTGGAGCCCCTGGACCCCGTGGAGTCCCTGCAGCCGCAGCTGTGATGTTGGCATTCGGCGACGCTTGCGGACAGGCTCTGCACCCCCAGCTGCCCTCGGAGGTGCTGAGTGCCAGGGTCCCGACATGGAAGCTGAATTCTGTAGTCTGCAGCCGTGCCAAGGTAAGAGCAGACTCGTGTCCTCAGAGCGGAGCTAGAGCACCCCAAGGCTTCCTCCAGGGCCCTGTGAGGGGTGCAGGGGACATCCCTGAGAGATGCCTTAAGGCTGTGTCAGAGCTGCTGAGTCCATTGCCCGAGAGACGCCTTCCCTAGAGGAAGCCGCTTCCTTCCCAGAGGAGGCAGGTCCGCAGCAGGGTTGGAGGCCCAGGGGAAGTGGCTAGCGGTGTGAGGAGGGAGGGTTCCCTTGGTGTGTAGGTGTGGGAGGCAGGGCCTCCAGTGACCTGGGCTCCATCCCCAGGTCCTGGTGGGGCGTGGGGTCCCTGGACTCGGTGCTCCGTGTCCTGCGGCGGTGGCTACAGGAACCGCACCCAAGGCAGCAGCCCACATGGCCCTGTGGAGTTCTCCACCTGCAGCCTGCAGCCCTGTGCAGGTGAGGTCTCTCTGGGGACACCCCCCCCCCAGTTCCTGTCCTCACCAACCCAGGGCGCTGTTACTTCTCTCACTGTAGCCCTGTCCTGCAATCCTGGGCAGCCTCACAATGACCCCAGCCATACCCAGAACAGATGCCTCTCACAGGGCCCTGGAGGAAGCCCAGGGGACAGGTCTATCGATTTGTGTCTCCAGGGCCAGTGCCTGGTGTGTGTCCCAGGGGACAGCAGTGGCAGGACTGTGCCCAGGGCCCTGCCTCCTGTGCAGAGCTCAGCTCCCTGGGACAGACAAACCAGACCTGCCAGCCTGGCTGCTACTGCCCACCTCCAACGCTCCTGCTGGTGAGTGTCCTCCTTGGAGGGCCACAGGTAGAACCTCTTCATGCCTGGGGACCCAGGGTGCCAGGAAGGGACATAGACCTACTGTGTGCTCAGGCTTGGGCTCAGCTACGTTGAGGGGGCAAATAGGCTCTGCCTTCGTGAAGCCTTTGGTCAGACCTGGGGCCACCAGGAACAAGACAGATGCGTGGGAAACAGGAAGTGAGCTTCACACGGTGTAGAGCAGGCTGGGTCAGTCGTGGGGGCCTTTCTGGAGAAGGAGTCCTGGCCCGGAGCCCAGATGGAAGGACCAAGAGCACAAGAATCCTCTCCAGTTGGAGGGTGGGTCCCAGGGCCCAGAAATTCCGTGAGCATGGAGGGGTTTGGACGAAGGGTTCCAGCTGCTGCTGCACTGTAGGGTGGGGTAAGGGACAGGCGTAGCGAGGTCTGGGTCTACATCAGGCTATCTGCTGGCACAAGGATGGTCCTAATCGTTGAGCGAGGACGCTGGGGCAGGCCAACACCTCCTGGCCAGCCAAGAGCATCCATGAGCTTGACTTTGGATCTCACACTGTCCAATTAGTGTTTCTGTGAAATTTCAATGATCTTCGTCCGAACATCCTGCATACATCATTTTCTCTGTTCTTCGTTCGTTGATGGGAAAAAAAAAATTCTGTGGGGGTCACCACAGCTGTTAAAGTTATGTATTGTAACTGATGTGGCACACGCCTATATCCCAGGACTTGGGGAGGCTGAGGCAGGAGGATTACAATTTTGAGTACAGCTTGAGCAAATTAGTGACTTAATGAGACTCTTTCAAAATTAAAAGTTAAAAAAAAGGTCTGGGAATGAAGCTCAATCTAAAGACCCTGGGTTCAGGGCCGGGAGGTGGCTCAGTGGAATAAGCACTTCCCTGGCAAGCACAAGGGCCTAAGTTCAATTCCCGGTTCTGACAAAAAAAAATAAAGACTCTGGGTTCAAGCCCCAGTACTGCCCTCCAAAAACATATTTTATATTTTCTTTTTTTGCGGAACCGGGGATTGAACTCAGGCCCTTGTGCTTGCCAGGGAAGCCCTTATTCCACTGAGCCATTTCCCCGGCCCCATATTTTATGTTTTCTTATGTGATTTAAGGGCATTTGACAATTCAGTCTTCTATCTTGATATAAAAATGGTCCTTTTCACACAAGCGACCGGGGTTCAAACCTCAGCGTGCTGGGGCTGGGGAGATGGCTCAGTAGAACAAACGCTTGAGTGGCAAGTGCAAAGGCCTGACTGAGTTCAATCCCTGGTTCCACACACACACACAATAAAAGACAAACCTCAGCGTGCTGTGTAGGCCCCACCCCCAGGGCACACTGAGACGTGGATTGAGACTGGGTGTGAGGGTGTGCGCCTGTAATCCTGGCACTTGGGAGGCTGAAACAGGAGGATCACTACAGGTCTGATCTGTGCAGTGAGACCTTGTAGACTCTGTACTAAATACATAAAAAAAAAAAAAGGACCTTTTCAAAAAATAAAATCAAATGCAAACATTTTTTTTTAAAAAAGGACCTTTTCTTGCAGATCTTGGGGGAATGTTCCCCCCATGGCCCCTGCAGCTGACAGCCTGCATGTTCCCAGAAGGAGGGTGCTAGGGAGGTGGGGATTGTGAACAGATGGTTCTGAGGGGCCTCAGGAGTGGTGCCAGCTCTGTCTGGGGAGCAGTGGGCTGGCGCTGGAGGTGACAGGTGGCTTTCCCTTCCAGAACAGCATGTGTGTGCCCCCCCAGGACTGCCCCTGTACCCACGGGGGCCACCTCTACCCCCCGGGCAGCATTGTGCTGAATGCCTGTGAAAACTGGTGAGAGCCCTGCATGGTGGCGGCCTGGGCCCGGTGTCCCCTGTGGCTTCTGTGGGGCTGCTGTCCCTCCTCAGTGGCAGGAGAGGCATCCAGCCTTTCCTCAAAGGCAGGACCTGCCCACCCCCTGGCCTCTTTTCCGCCCTTGTTAGTGTCAGGTTAGGGCCACCCCAGTGACCTCTCTTTAGTATGGCTACCTTTACAAAGACTCTGGTAAGACCAGGGGCAGGTCCTGGAGCTAGGGCTCAAATATAGGATTTGAGGTGACCTCACACAGCCCTCTGCTGTGTCGTTTGCAGTTCCTGTGTCTCTGGGCTGGTCTCCAACTGCACCTCCAGGCCTTGCGAGGAGGGTGAGAAAGGTTCCCACCCAACGGTGACCTGCCCCTGCCTACCCTCTAAACGGTGGCAATGGTAGCCAGGGCTGGGACTGGGGACAGTTCTCCAGAGAGTGTGGCCCAAGGGGGTGCATGGCACATCTGCGCTCCTCATCTTCTCTCTCCCGTGTCCCCCAAGGCCAGCCCAAATGGTCCCCCTGGACTCCCTGGAGCGAATGCTCAGCCTCCTGTGGCCCTGCCCGTCGCCACCGGCACCACTTCTGCCTCAACACCCCCAGCGTGGTGCCTGCAAGCCAGGCTCTGCTGCCCTCCCCAACTGCCCCCACACCCCTCTGCCCAGGACCCGAGGCCGAGGAAGAGCCGTGCTTCCCGCCTGCCTGTGACCGTGAGTGGGCCAACCCTGGCCTGGAGGTGGTGCCAACTGGCCACGGGCCATGCCAAGTCCTCCCTTGCCTTCCCTCACTATCTCTCAGGAGCAGGAGACTGGGGGCCTTGGGGACCCTGGTCGAGCTGCAGTCGGAGCTGCGGGGGAGGCCTGCGCAGCCGGACCCGAGCCTGTGACCAGCCGCCACCTGAGGGCCTGGGGCTTTTCTGCGAGGGACCTCAGGCCCAGGGGGAAACCTGCCAGGCTCAGCCGTGCCCAGGTACGTGCCAGGGATGGGGTGGGCTCAGGGGCAGGGGGTGGAAGGGCACTGCTTTCAGCCCCTCTGGTCCCTGTCCCAGGGACCAACTGCACCTCCATCGAGGGGGCCCAGTACAGCGCCTGTGGCCCTCCCTGCCCCCACTCCTGCGACGACCTTGTGGTGAGTAGACTTCCCTGCCTGGCCTGCCTGGCCCCTGACCCGAGGGCCACCTCACAGGCGTGGCTGGGCTCAAGGGCTGTCTCGGTGCTGGGTCTGTGAGTCACCTTTGACCAGCCCATGCCAGGCTGGCACCCCGTCTTCTCAAAGTAAAGCTTTTACTGCAAACAGCACAAATAGGAGGGGAAACCACCCCACGGCATCACCCTTCGTGCGTACGCACATCTGTGCACAAACTTGGGTGCGTGTGAGCGTTTCCTGCGCGCTCCCTGGGACACCGTGGACAAAGACGCTCGCTCTTTCTCCTGGATGCCACAGTCTCGCGGGAGGAAGACCAGCAAGGCTGGCTTGTTCTCCTTCTTGCCTTTCTTGTTTTGTTTTAGTTTTGGGTCTTGCTATGTAGTTCAGGCCGGTGTTGAACTCACTGTGTTGCTCGGCCTGGCCTCAAACTCAGTGATCCTCATGCCTCAGCCTCCTGAGCATGGCTAGGATTCCAATCATGTGCCACTATGCCTGGGTCCCCTCCCTTCTTAGCAAAACTGCAAATATAAACTGTGTCGGATGGAAGCCTCCGAGATGAAGGTCACAGTTTGGCCTCCTCTGCTGTCCTCTCCTTCTGTGTCCCCCCAGAGTACTCTATGGCTCCCCAGTGACCACCCCCACCCTGCAGGCCCTGTTTGGTGCTGACCAGAGCCCCTCCTTGCTGTCCCCTCAGCACTGTGTTTGGCGCTGTCAGCCCGGCTGCTACTGTCCCCTGGGCCAGGTGCTGAGTGCTGATGGGACCATCTGTGTGCAGCCGGGTCACTGCAGCTGCCTGGACCTGCTGACTGGGGAGCGGCACCGTCCAGGCGCCCAGCTGGCCAGGCCTGATGGCTGCAACCACTGGTGAGCCGGCCGTGCCCTGGTGTCAGGAGGCAGCGATGCCCATGGGCGTGGCCCTGCCTCCTGTGCATGCATGTGAGACCCGCGGCTCAGCAGAGGGGACATTAAAAATCCACCACCCCTGAGAAATCCAGGGTAGACACACCGGACCCTACCTGATAAGTGGGGAGACTGAGGCAGCTAGCCCCATATGTCTCCCGAGGGCCACACACGTGCTCCTGGAGGAGAGGTGCAGGGTGGCACGGGCCACAGATCAGATGGTGTTTGCTCCCATTGTCTGACCTTGTACCAGTTACACCAGCTGTGACGTCCCCACCAGTGAGGCAGGGAGCAGGTGAAGAGGGTGCTGGAGCCTGCAGACAAGCACAGACTGGGACACTGGTGGGGTGGGGACAGAGGCAGTCAGGAGGCTGTCCCTGGGACCTTGGTGGCCCTGAGCGGCTGGCTCATCCTCTTGTGTCTGCACCTGTTACCCAGCACCTGCATGGAGGGGAGGCTCAACTGCACGGACTTGCCCTGTCCAGGTATGAGCTGGCTTGCAGGGGGTAAAGAAGTAGCCCTGAAGACATGGGGGGGCCAGGTCCTGGGCCAGGGCAAGGATCAGTTCTACCCAATGCCCGGACTTTCCTCACAGTGCCCGGAAGCTGGTGCTCATGGTCAGAGTGGACAGCGTGCTCCCAGCCCTGCAGGAGCCAGGCGAGGACCCGCTCCAGGGCTTGTGCCTGCCCCGCTCCTCAGCACGGCGGTGCTCCATGCCCCGGCGGGGCAGGGGCCCAGGGTCAGAGGGAGGCCTGCCCGAGCTCCACCGCCTGCCCAGGTGTGCTGCCTCCACGGGGCCCACGCCATCCCCCCAGTGTCTGCTCCAGCCTGCACGCCCTGGGGTTCCCAGGGCTCCTAAGGTGCATGTTCGTCTGTCTTCCTGGACAGTGGATGGCGCCTGGAGCCCTTGGGGGCCATGGGCTTCCTGCGATGTGTGCCTGGGGCAGTCCCACCGGAGGCGAGTGTGCACCCAGCCACCCAGCTCTGAGGGAGGCAGGCCGTGCCCAGGGGCCCACGAGGAGAGTCGCCCATGCTGGGACAGCTCCACGGAGTGCGCAGGTGCGGCTTCTGGAGGGGCCTGGAGAGCCTCCTAAGTCTAGGCAGGCGCTGCTTCTGACCCCTGACCTCTGACCCCTGTACCTGCATCCATGCCAACTCACTCTCCGTGGGTAGGGTGGCAGGGTGGCCTAGGTAGGAGGCCACCAGCACCCACCCTCCCTGCTTCCCTCCTGCCCTAGACTGTGGAGGGGGCCAGGTTCTACTGCCCTGTGGGCGGCCTTGCCCCCGCTCCTGCCAGGACCTGTCCCCTGGAAGTGTGTGCCAGCCAGGCCCTGTGGGGTGCCAGCCCAGCTGTGGATGTCCCCTGGGACAGCTCACCCAGGATGGGCTCTGTGTGCCCCCAGCCCACTGCCGCTGCCAGTACCAGCCTGGAGCCGTGGGTCAGTGCCTCCTCGGCCCTTGCCATTCTGCCTGGCCCTCAAGGCCCAGCCCCCTGCAAACCCTTGTGTCCTCCATGTCCCCTTCTTCTACCTCCCTCCTCCAGGACACCAGCCTGCGGGGTGGACTGCAGGGAGGCAGGGGTGTGGGAGGAGGGATTCGTGGGGGTGCTGAGCTGTCCAGAGCTCCCCACCTCTCACTGCCGCACCCTTCAGGGGTTCCTGAGAACCACAGCCGGTCAGCAGGGTCTGGGCTCAGCTCCTGGGAGAGTCTGGAACCTGGAGAGGTGGTGACTGGGCCATGTGACAACTGGTAAGCAAACCAGGCATGGGGTGGAGCCAGGCAGGAGGGTCCTCCCGGAAATGGGCCAGGCCCTCTCTGAAGCCCCCTCCCTTGTCCCCAGCACCTGTGTGGCAGGCATCCTGCAGTGCCAGGAGGTGCCCAGTTGCCCTGGCATGGGCATGTGGGGGTTCTGGGGCCCCTGGGAGGACTGCAGTGTTTCCTGTGGGGGAGGGGAGCAGCTGCGCTCCCGGCTCTGCCCCCGACCCCCCTGCCCGGGACTGGCCCGGCAGAGCCGCACCTGCCATACCCAGGTCTGCAGAGGTGAGCCTGCCAGCCTTTGTGCTGACATTTCCATGAGCTTGGGCCCCTTGGAGGCCTTGATACTGACTCAAGGGTGCCTTCCGGCCTCCCCTCCCCTCCTGCCCACCTGCCCCTTCCCTCGCCAGTGCTGGGCCAGGGAAGAAGGAAGCTGCTTGGGGGAGGGCAGTCTGGGGGGGGGCACTGCCCAGGAAGGAGCATTCACAGCATAGGTGGGCACAGAGTGGCCGGGAAGAGCAGGTACTGATGCAGGTGTTGCTTTAGAGGCAGGCTGCCCAGCTGGACGCCTGTACCGCGAGTGCCAGCCCAGCGAGGGATGCCCCTTCTCCTGTGCCCACATCACGGGCCAGGTGGCCTGCTTCTCCAGCAGCTGCGAGGAAGGCTGCCACTGTCCTGAGGGCACCTTCCTGCACCGCTTGGCCTGTGTCCAGGTCAGAACGCAACCGCACCCTGCCCTGCCCCGCCCCTCACCTGCAGCCCTTCACACCTGAGGACCTGTGGCCTCTGGACCCCTGGCCCCTTTGCTGAGAGCGTCAAGACAGGGAGAGGCAGAGGACTGGAGTGGGTAGTGGGGGCGATGCTCCTACTTCCTGGGGGGACCACTTGCCTCACCCTGAAGGCCCTGGCACCCCCCAACACATCTGTCCACTCAGCAGCGCCCCCAGGGGTCGCATGGCCCCAGTCCTGTGTCCTGGCAACCGCAGCTTCCTGGGGGTGGGGGCAGCTCAGGCTTGACTCCCTGCTTTGCACCACTGACACGCAGGTCTCTGCTTCTCACTTTCCTCCTACACCTTGGGAAAGCGCCTCGTCGCCTCTCTGCCTGGCACCAGCACCCTTGCCCCTGCTGTGAGTGCAGGGGGCGCACAGGTGCCAGCTCTGCTCTGCTGAGCTTAGCAGGCACCAGGGAGCCCTGTCCTTACCCTGGTAGCCTCCAGAATGCCATGGCCACAGGGACCTGAGCAGCCATCTGGCCCCTCACTCTCGACTTCGATAATGATGACTCTGACCTCAGGGAGAGGAAGGGACAGTAAGGTCATCCAGCCAGGGCAGAACTGGATCCAAACTCAGCCATCTTGACTCCTCCACACTCTGGCTAAGCTCTTCCTGCTTCTGCCAAGTCCTGTCCTCTCCAGGCCTTGGTGGCACCTGCTTATACCAGGCCCAGGCCCCAGTGACAAGCACCCATGGTGCCTTACATCCATGTCGAAGGGCCACCAACCCTCATACACCAGGAAGCACCCTCATGCAGCCCAGAGCCCTCCCTCCCCCACCAAGTCTCTGAGACTGCGCACAGACACCTGGTTCTGTGTGATCTCGCTGTCCCAGGAGTGTCCCTGTGTGCTGACAGCCACACTGCTGCAGGAGTTGGGTGCCACCAGCTCTGGGTCTGGGATGTCCCCACCCCTTTTGGGAGAAGAAGGTCAGCACTTTGGGCCTGGAGATGAGTTGGACCCAGGCCAGACATTTCAAATGGGCTGCAGAAACTGGTGAGGGGCTGCCCAGGATGAGGACTGGGCTGGGATGTGGGTGAGATTCACCTGTCCTTCCCCTTTTTCTAGGGCCCTTGGACATGTGTCCAGGCCCCTCATCCCTTCCTGCCTGGCCCCTCATGCCTACGCCCTCCCCTCAGCTCCTGTGTGCATGGGAAGCTGTCCTGCTCCCTGGACAACTGCTCCCAGGCTGAAAGTGGCTTCAGCCCCTGGGGCCCGTGGGGCCCGTGCTCCCGTTCCTGTGGCCAGCTGGGGACCCGCACCCGCAGCCGCCAGTGCATGCTCCCCACACCTGCTTCTGGGGGCCAGGGCTGCCTAGGACCCAGAAAGGACCTGGAGGACTGCCACAGCCCAGACTGCCCTGGTAAGGGACACTAGATAGCAGCATCAGGGTCTGATTCATGCCATTTTGCCTGCCTCGTCCCCACCTGTGTCTTTCTGTAGCCATACCCGTCTCTGGGTCCTCCTTCCTTTTACTCTCTAGCTCTAGACTTCTATTCAAATACATTTAGCCAGCCTTCCTGGACAGCCAGCCAGGTGCATCCCACAGGATGGGGCTGGGGTGGAGGGTAAAGTCCCTGATCATGGGACCCAAGGGCTCAGAGACCCCATTTTAGTATGGGGCAAGCCCTATAGAAATGCGTGTGTGAGGTGGGAATTGGGGTGGGAGGAAACTGTAGAGGGATGCACCGGGGCGGCTTCCTGGAGGAGGCAGCGTCTGCTGGACTGAGGGATGGAGGAGCCCTGGAAGGGAAGGCAGCCCAGGGAGCTGGAAAAGCCGGGGCAGAGGCCATACTCAGCTGGCAAGTGCTGAGCGGGTCCTGGAGTCTCCATAGGAGATCACAGAGCTGAGAGAGGGCTGGGCCGGAGAGGGCTGGGACTGCCAGCCTTCTGTGCAGCTCAGGAGTGCTATGGCGGGCCAGGAAGCATTTCTGAGCAGGGTCTCTTTTGGCACAGGGGCTGAAGTGCCCACGGTGGAACCAGTGACCGCCCTTCCAGGTAGCCCCAGACCCCCATCTCCTCCTACATGGTCCCCTTTTGGGAAGTGCAAGCCTCCTCCAGCCCCAACCCAGTTCCCCTGTGTCCCTGCTCCCTCTGTCTCCAGGTGGCTGGGGCCTATGGTCGCCGTGGTCGCCCTGCTCCCGCAGCTGCACAGACCCTGCCCGCCCTGCATGGCGCAGCCGCCTGCGCCCCTGCCTGGCCAACTGTTCCATGGGGGAGCCAGCACAGGAGCGTCCCTGCAACCTGCCCTCCTGCACAGGTACCTGCCCATCTCAGCCTCAGCAGCCTGTAGGCCTCTGGCAGCTGCAAGTTTCTAAAGCTCACCTCTAATCTCACTGAAATCAGTGTCGGATTCCAGGCTGTGGGGAGCTCGGCCAAGTTCAGCAGACTGCTTGGTTCTCATGTGTGTACCGGGCGTGATCGCAATACACAGAGAATGTTTTATAAAAAATATTTACAGGGAAGAACACATTGCCATCCCTGCACCTCAAAGGCCTCCCCCTTGCTTTGAGCATGCTTACCCCACCCTTCTTGCCGCTTTCTGAAGCGGTCCTGGAGGTCCTTTCATGAATGTCCTTATGAGGTGTGATCAACAACACAGTGACGGCTGGGGAGATGGCTCAGTAGGAGAAGTGCTTGACTGGCAAACGCAAGGATCTGAGTTCAATCCCCAGTTCCGCCCAAAACAAAACAAAACAAAAAAACAATACAATGAATGTTGCTACTGAGTGCTGCCCAATGGACAGGCAGGCTTGTGCAAACACCCAGTGTCTTCACCCGCCTGACTCAACAGTTCTGGCACTGTGCGACTTGTGGCTTGTCTCAGTTACTCTTCTCTCGTTGCTGGGACAAAACACCCAACACCCAAAGTAAAGGAAGGAAAGGTTTATTTAGTACACAGTTACTGGAGGTTTTAGTCCACACTCAGCTGGCTCCAAGGCACACTGGCATGGGTAGAGGTTCATGGCAGCGGAAGGCAGCAAAACAGCAAGAGCAAAAGGGAGGAGTTGCGGCAACAATGGCAACAGAAAGCAAGTCTGTCTCTCTTATGACACATTCAGGCTGCCTGCCCCAGGCTGGGTACAGCACTCACACCCATAATCCCTGCAGCACTCATACCCATAATCCCAGCACATCATGAGTTAATCTCAAACTCTAGAAGTCCACCCCATGACTGTATGAGGCTTTGGGGGGCCAACTAGACACAAGCCATAACATGGCTCTTCAGTCAATGGGATAGTTCTGCAGACTAAGCACCTGCTTAGAGAAGCGCAGGGACCAGGTTTCAATCCCTGATACCACATGCCACACCAGCCCTGCCCCTGGGCTCGCTGAGCCAGTGACCGAGTGGTGGCGCATGCCTGGAATCCCAGTGCTGGGGAGGCTGCAAACAGGAGGATCACTATGAGTCTGAGCTGTGTAGTGAGACCTTGTACTGAATACTTTAAAAAAATAACATGGATCTTCTCTGTAATCAAAATGGCCATGAAAGGTAAACACTTTGAATTGATTCAGGACTTAGAAGACACCACAGCGATGCAACCAAAGACACCATGAGAAAGGACTTCCAGAAAGTGGCCAGAGTAACTGGATAAAGTGAGGGGGATATTTTGAGGGGGATTAATGGCAATGTGTCCTTTAGTGTAATTTTTTAAAAATTAAATACGCATTGCATCTGTGGATCATGCTGCACATGTGCCTCACATTCCTCCCAGCAACCCTGTGAGTCAGGGATTGCTCTCTGTGCTGAAAAGGGACACGGAGGACAGACACCAGAGGCACTCAGCTGTCAGTGTCAGACCTGCACAGGCGCCAGGATCTGGGTGGGGCCCCAGCTGGGGCAGGAGAGTGGGCTGGGGGAGGAGAAAGGACTGGGTAGTTGTGCCAGCTCCAGCTCCACTTTGTCCTGCAGAGCTGCCCCTGTGCCCCGGCCCTGGCTGTGGGCCAGAGAACTGTTCCTGGACTCCCTGGGCACCGTGGGAGCCATGCTCCCGCAGCTGCGGGGTGGGCCAGCAGCGTCGTCTGCGAGCATACCATCCCCCTGGGCCCGGGGGACACTGGTGCCCCGACATCCTTACTGCCTACCAGGAGCGCCGCTTCTGCAACCTGAGTGCTTGCCCAGGTGAGGTGGGCGGGAGAACCAGGCGTAGGACCCAGCCCTTCCCTGCACAGCACCTCCCTCCTTCCCAGGCACCTAGCCTGCCCAAGGGTGAGGCTCCATCCCCTGTCTCTCCTTCCAGATCTGGGTGAGGCTCACGGGGCGCGTGAGTCCCTCTCGCTGAGCTGATGGAGCCATTCTCTTTCCCACACAGTACCAGGGGGCTGGTCACGCTGGAGCCCCTGGTCCTGGTGTGACCGGAGTTGTGGAGGGGGCCGATCACTGAGGAGCCGGAGCTGCTCAAGCCCCCCACCCAAGAATGGGGGTGCTCCCTGTGTCGGAGAGAGGCATCACTCCCGGGTCTGCAACCCCATGCCTTGCGGTATGACAGTGGCAACAGCCACCCTGCCTCTCGCTTCATTTGGGGCCTTGCGGGGAGAGGCTGTTACCTCACTGGCCCTCAGATGTGGGCCTCAGAGCCTACCGCCTGATGCCAGGCCTCCTCCTCCACTTAGAGGAGGGCTGCCCAGCAGGCATGGAGCTTGTCAGTTGTGCCAACCGCTGCCCCCGCCGCTGCTCAGACTTGCAGGATGGAGTGGTGTGCGAGGACCCCCAAGTCTGCCACCAAGGTTGCCGGTGCCCCAACAGTGCGTGCCACAGGCCCTCCAGCTCATGGGGAGCTCAGTGAGATGCAGGTGGGCCCGCTGCCACCAGCACGGCCACCAAGGAATGCCTCCTTGCAGGGTCCCTGGAGCAGGATGGCAGCTGTGTGCCCATCGGGTACTGCGAGTGCACAGATGCCCAGGGCCACAGCTGGGCTCCAGGGAGCCAGCACCAAGACACCTGCAACAACTGCACCTGCCAGGCAGGGCGCCTCTCCTGCACGGCCCTGCCCTGCCCGCCACCCACCCACTGTGCCTGGAGCCGCTGGTCAGCCTGGAGTCCCTGCAGCCTCTCGTGTGGGCCCGGGGGACAGCAGAGCCGCTTCCGGTATGAGGCTGGGTGAGGCGAGAAGATGTCCCTGTCCCACTCAGGGACCCTCTGCCTGGTATATCTCCTCTTGGAGATGGCGGTCTTCAACCTGCTCTTCCAGTGATTCTGCTCCCCCAGTGTCCTGCCCAGCTTGGTCACAGGCCACCCAGGCCTTGCCTTAGCACCTCCAGGACCACCCTCAGGGCTGGTAAGGCCTGGGCTGCTCCTATCTCCCTGGCCCTGTCACTAGGTCTTCCACGTCTGGGTCATGGGCCCCAGAGTGTCGAGAGGAGCAGTCCCAGAGCCAGCTGTGCCCGCAAGCCCCGTGCCCACCCTTGTGCCTGCAGGGCACCCACCCCCGAAGTCTGGGGGACAGCTGGCTTCATGGAGAATGTCAGCAGTGGTAAGTGCAGGGCACAGAAGGGTGACTGGACTGTCCTGCTGCAGGGCAGGTCCCTGAGTCTGGGCTCCTCCCCCAGCTCCTGCACCCCGGAAGGCGTGATCTGTGACAACACCGAGTGTGCAGGTCTGGGTTTCATCCTGACCCCTGCCTCTGTTCACCCTCCTATTCTCTGTCACTGGCCATCTGCCCTGTGTTCTGCATTGGCCCCCCACCCCACTGCCACCCTTGTGTATAAAGATCTTGCCCCAACTCTCTGAGTCTTCCTCCTATCCACCCACCTGCCCTACTCCTCCAACTTCACCTGTGTCCTCCCGTAGTGCCCAGTGGCTGGACACTGTGGTCTCCTTGGTCCGACTGCCCTGTCTCCTGTGGAGGTGGACACCAGGTCCGCACCCGGACCTGCACAGTGTTGGCTGCTCAGCGCAACGGGCCGCCTTGCCCGGGCTCTGACACCCAGATGCGGCACTGTGGGCAGCAGCCGTGTCGGCGATTGCTGGACACCTGTTTCTGGGGCCCATGGGGGCCCTGTTCCCACACGTGCGGCCTGGGCCTGACCTCCCGCTCTGGGTCCTGCCCCTGCCTGCCCGGCGAGGCTGACCCCACATGCAACAATGGCACTGTCACACACCTGGACACCGAGGCCTGCTACCCAGGGCCCTGCCTGGGTAAGCGTCCCTATTTCCCTGTATTGGGCTATAGAATAATGTGTGTCCCAGCCTCACTTGTCCCCTGACTCTCTGCTTTGTCTTTCTCCTCCTGTCACCTCTTTCGGAGGCCTTCCCTGAGTGACCTCCTTTCTGGGTAAAAGGAGTCCACCTAGCAGAGCCTGTTTGAACCCTGTGTTACCTTTCCCCTTTCTCATGCACAAGGTGCTGGCGAGGGCAGGGATGAAAGGAGAGGGCATGGAGCAGGGGCTGCAGGGACCCCAAGGGGCCCTGCTGATGTACCCTTGCTGTCCCCAGACGAGTGCATATGGAGCAGCTGGAGCAGCTGGACACGCTGCTCCTGCCAGGTGCCTGTGCAGCAGCGCTACCGCCACCAGGGACCAGCGCCGGGCCGGGCTGCCAAGGGAGCCCCCTGCACACGGCTGGATGGCCACTTCCGGCCGTGCCCCATCGGCAACTGCTCGGGTGAGGCCTGGGAGTAGAAGCCAGGCAGCTAAGCAGGGTGGCAGCAGTGCCTGCTTATAAACCTAAGTCCCCAGGACCTCAGGGATGGTGGCCTGGCCCTACCTCTGGCCCCAGGACCTCAGGGATGGTGGCCTGGCCCTACCTCTGCCCCCAGGACCTCAGG